TTGACAGTTAATTTTGCTGGATACAAAATTCTTGAATGAGTCTTTTTCCTTCTGCACTCTGAATATATCATCCCATTCTCTTCTGGCCTGTAGAGTTTATACTGAGAAGTCCACCAAGAGACATATTGGGGCTCCATTGAATGTTATATGGTTAGTTTTCTTGCTGCTTTCAGTATTCTCTCTTTGTCTTTGGTTTTTGATATTTTTATTATGATGTGCCTTGGGGTATTGGATTGAGTTTGATTGGCTACCTCTGAGCTTCTTGTACATGGATGCTATCACCTTTTTCCATGCTTGGGAAATTTTCAGCCATTATTTTCTTGAATATGCTTTCTACATCTCTTCCTTTTTTCTCTCCTTTAGGTATATCAGTTATGTGTAGTTTATTTTGCTTGAGGGACTCCCATATTTGCTGTGTTTCTGCTTTTTTTTCCCTCTCTTTTTGTTCCTTTGATTGGATAATTTTATATGTTTTGTCTTCGAGCTCAGTGATTCTTTCTTCTGGTTAAATGTTCTGTTGGGAGTTTTCAATAAAGTTTTCCAGTTCAGATAATGTATTCTTTATTTCTAGAATGCCTATTTGGTTTTTTAAAATTGATTCAATTCCTTTGTCAAGTTTCTTGTTCTGCTCCTGGATTGTTTTCCAGATATCATTAATTTCCTGTCTGTATTTTCTTGTTACTCCCTGAACATCCTTCAGAGGACTATTCTTAGTTGTCTGTCAGACATTTCATATATTTGCTGTTCCTCTGGGTCCTTTGCTGGTGCTCTGTTTCCTTTGGTGGTGTTGTATTTCTCTGCTTTTTCTCTATTCTTTATGTTGATGCCTGGGAATTTGAGTAGCGTTCTAATTCTTGTAGGTTTTATAGGTGGTCTTTGGTGGTGGTAAACCTTGACTGGTTAGTCAGAGCTTTGTCTCTGGCCTGTGATTTTTTTTCTCCCAGTTCTGGCCCGACGCAGAACTGTTGGATTATTAACTACCAGCAGCAATTAAACTCTGCACTGGAACTAATTTTTTGTCCTTAGGTTAATTCCAAAATTGGGGAACACCCTGTGGGGACTAGCACTTGAGCCCTGTGGTTGAGCTACAGTGATGTTTTGCTGCTGAATCTCTGAGGAAGGCTTTTTGTGTAGTTCAGATTTTAATTGTTGGCCTTTTAATCACTTCCTGGTCTTGTGAGGTCAGATACACCTGGGATTTGTGGAAATTCTGACCCAGGACTGAGTTTTTTCAGCAAAGTGTGCCCCCTTTAGTTCTGTCACCCTGACCAGTCTCCACTGAGTGGACCTATTCTGATCAGAAGGCAGACCAGCTGCCCTTGCTGCACTCCAATGTTCTTCTAGAGAGGCAGCCACCCATCCTGCAAAACTTTTTTTTTCCATATGACAGGCCATGTGCAGTTGAGTCACGGTGACTAACTAGCCTCTGGGTGGCTCTTTTCTTTGGTTGGCTGCAGCCCCTCACTCCTATGTGAGTCCACAGGAACCTTGTCAGTTGTCTCACTGGCCTGGAGGCTGGTATGGTACACTCCACGACCCTCTCTTTCCTGCACCTTCCAAGCAACTTTGTGCAAAGGGAGCAGCTTCAGATTTTTGCTGGTTCCTATTCTATGTGCTGCAACTTCTCCGTGTACATCATCATGCCGTCCCTAAAGCCCCTAGGACTCGAATTTGTGAGAGTGGTCCCTTCTCTCTCTCTTGCATGGCTTCTCTCACCTTCATGAACTTCACAGGTCTCTCCTCCACTTCCCACAAGCTCCAGTGGTCCCTGGTTGGTAATAGTTGTAAATTGATTGGTTATGGGAGAGAGTGACACTGGTGATTGTCTATTCAGCTGTCTTGTGAGGAAGCCATCTCTGGCATTCTTTTTTTTGTGTGTGTCTTTTTCTTGACCAGTAAGGGGATCACAACCCTTGGTGTGGTGTCACCCGCACTGCGCTCAGCCAGTGAGCGCACCGGCCATTCCTATATAGGATCCAAACCCACGGCGGCAGTGTCACTGCACTCCCAGCGCCGCACTCTCCCGAGTGCACCACAGGGTTGGCCCCCATCTCTGGCATTCTTAACTGGCTGGTTTCAGGAGAGAAATGGCTTCACCAGACACCCTAGCTAGGGATTTTGAGGCTCTCTCAGATCTTTTGTATGGATATATACACTCTACATTTTTTGTTCCCTCTTTGGGGTGGCGAGTGAATTCTTAAAATTGTATGCTTTCTCTAGATCCTGAAAAGCCAGGCTGGTTCCTGAGAGCCTCCTATTTAACTAGGGTAGAACCCTGAAATGCTTACGTTTGTGTCTTTTTCCCAATCCCTCAGAGTCAAACTGGCTGTCTGTGGAAAACACTTGTATTTGTAGTCTGTGGGGTAGTGGTCAGGGAGCTGGCATGGGGAAGATGGGTACCACTCGTGGAGCATTTGGGGTGCAAGTGGGTCGGTTTTGGAGGGATCCACAGGTTATGCATCCCAAGAAACTCATGGGTGGGCTTTCTGATGGAGTCTGTGTAGTGATCAGTAGAGTTTGTGTCCTCTCTTCCCTGCTCTCAACTTTCCCCGAACACTCATCCATGTTGATCCACCTTAGTATTGTGGGTGGGGTGAGAAAGAAATATGTCTCTTGGGCAGTGTGTCGCACAATTGGTAGATCCTGGTGCTTACTCATTGTGCTTTTGCTTTCTATTGAGTGAGAAATTGTGAGCTGAGGGAGTTTCTCTTTGTACTGATCTGTGTCACTTTGGGGGAGTGCTGATGCTGGTAAAGTGTAACTTTCTCTTGCCCTCTTTAATGTGTCTATTCTGGATTTTTTGCTTTTTTGTTGTCCCGAAATATCTTTGCTGAATTTTCAGACTTCAACAGAGTTACTCTTGTCCAGGGGTTGTCAAAATTGATGCTTCTTTGGGCAGATGACAGTAAAACGCACCTATTCTGCCATCTTGCTGATAACACTTCTTTCAAATGTTACTCTTAACAAGCCCTTGGGCCGGCCCGGTGGCGCACTGCTACAGTGCGCCGCTTGGGAGTGCGGCAGCGCTCCCGCCGAGGGTTCGGATCCCACATACAGACCGGCCGCTCACTGGCTAAGCGAGGTGTGGGCGCAACACTGAGGGTTGTGATCCCGTTGCCGGTCCCGGTCCGGTACGGGCGCGACACTGAGGGTTGCGATCTGTTGCCAGTCACGAAAAAAGACAAAAAGGAAAAAAAAACAAAAAAAAAAAAACAAAAAAAACAAGCCCTTGACGAAAGCTTTTATTTTAATTAGCTTATAAATTTGATGGATATGGATAGTGCTGTGGCATTATTTTAAGGTGAGTTTTTCTTTTCTTTTTTTAATCTGTTGGACTAAGTCACACTAAGTAAAACAGAGTAAAACCATAAAACATAATCAGATAATGTATGTATTTGTTGGTGCTCAGTATTAATGCACTGAATTGTCTTTGAACACAGTGGTGCTTTGTCAACTATCTCCCTGTAGAAAGAAATGATACTTAATGCTAATTTTTAGGAATACATTTTCCTGTAGTTTTTCCAGGTGGATGATTCTCTTTTGGTAGCAAATCAGAATATGGGTTCCAGTCACCTCATTATATTAGTATATAAAATCTTTAGTTCCAGAAAATATTTCATTACCCCTCAAAATTGGTATATACATGAAAATATTAAGTTATGCACCTGCTTTCAAAAACCTTTCATTAATTTTTCATTCGTGTTACTTGTGTTAAGATCTAGAATCTTTAATATCTTTTGAAAAGGCCCTGTGAGAGCTGACCCCAGCCATACCAGCCCGACCCCCTTTTTAAAAATCTCAAATATGTGAAATTATTTTCCAACTCAGTGACTTCTTGGATACTTTTTTCCTTTGCAGGTGACATCATCCCTTCCCTCTTTTTTATGTCATGTCTTTTTGTGTGTTTTGGGCTTTGCCACTTTTTCAGAGAAGAGTTTACTGATCTTCTCATTTTAGGTTGTGTCCCCTGCTAAAATCTCATTGTACCTTTTCATTTTCTTATTAGATTTATTACTGTTTACATCTGTTTGTTGTAATTATTTGTCTGTCTGATTCCCTATCCAGACCAAGAACTCTTTGAAGATAGGAATACTGTCCATTTTTGTTCACTGATCAATCCTTGACAGTTAGTGCAGGGACTGGCATTATAGTGGATGCCGCTTAAGAGGTAGTCTGAGAGAATCCAAGCATATTTCTGTTCCCAAGCTTAGAATTTTTCTACCAGACCTAGAATTCTTCTACTGACACTCGTTTCTAAGAAAATGCAATACAGACATACAGGAGTGCTTATAAAACTTTTCAAAACCCATTGTTTGGGTTCTCTCTACATCCCCTGCCTGCCCTCCCTTTTCTTTCCAGATCTTTTTACCAAAAGTGTGAGTTAATATGCATTACAGAAAAGTATTAGAAGACATCAACAATTTCTAAAATTAATCTAAGCAAGACTTGGGCAGTATGTTATAGTTTTTCTTTGAAGAAAAAGCTTAAAAGCTGTCCCCAAAAAGAGTGTGTCTTAAAGAGTATTTTTATTTTTATTTTTTTTCCTTTTTGTCTTTTTTTTTTACTGACCGGTAACGGGATCGCAACCCTTGGTGTCGTGCCCGTACCGGGGACTGGCAACGGGATCGCAACCCTCGGTGTTGCGCCCACACCACGCTCAGCCAGTGAGCGGGAACCGGTCTCCACATGGGATCCGAACCCTCGGCGGGAGCGCCGCCGCGCTCCCAAGCGGCGCACTCTCCAGTGCACCACCGGGCCGGCCCTTAAAGAGTATTTTTAAACGTAAAATTAGGGATTATGTAGTAAAACCCAAATCTTTTTACAATAATTTAACTTAATTACACTCTTGCAGTATATCACTGAAAAGATCTTGATAAATTAGAAGTAATTTTTATATTTTCATGTGTAAAATTTGAGTTAAACACATGAAAAAAGCAGCAGACTGTATTCTGAGATTTTATCAAAGATAATGTGGCTATATGTTGTGGCTCTGGTTCTAGGCAGTATGAAACTGTGGCTCCACTTGAAGATTCTATTGTGACTGAGGTTACAGCAACTCTACAAGAATGGGCCAGTTTATGGAAACAACTATATGTGGTAAGTATTTGATTACTAGTTTACTGGATCATTAGAGTTCCATTGTACAATGTAAAAAAAAAAATTATCTAGCCTGTGTCAATTCTGCAGTTTCGGATTTCTGAATATTTATAGTTTTTCAAATGTATGTTTCTAATATTAACTGAAACATAGTAGACTGAGTTTTCTTAATGTAAAAAAACCCATATTATTTATATGCCTATAGTTCCTCTACCTTTCTCCAGTCATTAGAATGTAAGTTTTATAACTCTAGGGATCTTAGCCATCTTACTCATTGCTGTGTCCCCACATAATTTCATAAAGCAGGTGTTTACTCAATGAATGAACAAACTTGAGTTTTACTTAATTTTTATCTTTGTAAACCCAGTGGTGAGTAAAGGCAAAGAAATTGTATTAACTGTTTCTTACAGCTACTAAGCTTAAAACATATGTGATATATGACACTTTACTAGGCCAATAGTTAAATAGAAAATGTAATAAAAACCTGATAAAGAAAAAAGAGTAATAAAATCCTAGGAAACTTAGAAAGTAGAGGATGATAGGATGTAAAAATCATTATGATATCTACACTAAAAATAAGTGACAGGGTTTGGGTTTTAGACAAGATGGAATAAACACATTCATCTTCTCGTACTAATCAAATTAGGAACTATTGGACAGAACACATATGTCACCTACCAGTCACTCTGAAAGTTTGGGAAAGGAGAGGGAACTGACTAGGGACCTTGGCACTCAAGGACTGAGTGAGTTCCCTGTTGTTTTTCCTTTTCTTGTATCCAGACCTGGTCTCTAGAGAACCTCACAATATGGAAATGTTAGTGAGGGGAAACAAATCAAAAATAGCGTCAAGGAAAGCCTGCTCTTTCTAGCCAAAGTATGGCCCAACAAGATAGAAACCTTTTAACCACACTTTTATGTTCTGTAGGAGAATACCACAATAAAAGCTGTACCCCTCTCCTACCCTGGCAGGTACTTCAGCAGCAGAATTCATGATCAGAGCTCTGTTTTATTCATACACCCTTCCTTTACCCGCAATAACAAGGAGATATGTCTCTCTTTTGTGCAGCCTGTGAGAAGAACTCTAACTTCTACCCCCCACCCTGTAATAATGAGGCAGTGCCCCTTTCACTGGAGCCTATAGACAGCACTTTGACTTCCACACATCAGCAGTTGTAATGAAGCACCTCTCCTCAACAGAGCCTGTGGTTGGGACTCTGGCCTTCATTTACACCCTTTCTCTGAAGTAAGGAAGAGGCAACCCTAGGAGGAGGAACCTGTGTTTGGAACTCTTGACTTCTACTCTTCTTGTAGTAATGAGGTGCTCTTCTTCCAAGATGAGCCTATAGGCAGGACTCTTATTTCCACCCTACCTCACCCCCTGCATTGATGAGGCAGTACCTTTCTTTAGCAGACCCTGTGGGACAGTACTTATTTTCCATCCTTATCCTCCTGAAATGAGGCAGTGCTTCTCCGTAACCAAACCCATGCTGAAGAGCCAGTGGGGTGGAATTCTGTCATCTAGGTAATACAAAAATGGGGGAAACCAGAAAGGCATTGCAGAGACTTTATAAACTAAATTGACATTTGAACTACAGGCATTTTGGATCTTAACAGGTTGACCACCTACTAAAATAGGTCATTTAAATATGAATCAGAGTGTCATAGTATAATAATTAAAATGTGTAGGTTACACCTAAAATTCCTTGTCATGTGAAAAATTAGGAAAATCTCAACTCCAATGAAAAAAGACAATCAACAGATGCCAAAATTGACATGACACAGATGTTGGAATGGATTTTAAAGGAGCTTCTGTTAAAATGCTTTAATAAGTAATTACATCTCTGTAACAAATGAGAACAGAAAACTGCAGAGAATTAGAAAATATAAAGAACCAAATGAAAAATTTAGAACTGAGAATAATCAAAAATTTAAAAGTTATTATATAGGCTCACTAACAATGGAAATGGCAGAGAAATGAATTAGTCAACTTGAAGATAGATCAGTAGAAATTCTTCAGTCTGAATAAATGGAGAGAAAATAAATTAAAAAAGTGAATTTAGCTTCAGAGTCCTGTGGGACAATAATATAAGATCTTACATTGTGGTCTCAGAGTACTGGATGGAGAGGATGGAATGTGGAGCTAAAAAGAAGTATTTTAAGAAATGATGGCCCAAACCATCCTAATTTGGATGCTGATTTTGGATGCTAACATCCTAATTTTGGAAATAAAAAAAAGGATTTTAAGAAATAATGACCAAAAACATCCAAGTCTAGAGATTCAAGAATGTGAGTGAACTCCAAACAGGATAAACTCAAAGAAATTCATTCCCAGACACATCATAGTCCAAAGGAAAAATCTTCAAAGCAGACTAGAATGCATTGACACATTCATTACCTGTGGGGAATAGCAATTTGAATGACAGCAGGTTTTTCATCAGAAACTATAGAAGACAAAGAAAAAATGTTGGGCCCCATTTAACTATTGAAAGAAAATAAACCTGAGTACCCCAGAATTGTGTATCCAGAAAAAATATGCTTTAGAAATGATGGAGAAATTAACACACTGTTAGATGAAGGAAAGCTAAGAAAACTTGTTGCCAGCAAATTGATCCTAAAAGAATTACTGTGAAGGAAGTTCTTCAGAAAGAAAGGAAGTGATAACAGAAGGACACTTGAAACAATAGGAATTAAGAAAACAATGAAAAAGGTAGATTAATTCTTCTCTTATTTTTAAAAATTGTCTTTTATGACACAAGCAAAAATTAGAACATTATGTGGCTCTCAATGTATGTTAGAAGTAATATTTAAGAGAACTGTATTATGAAGTGGGGAGGGAAAGGGACATAAATTGTGGTAGGGTATCTACATTTTACTGTAAGTGTTACAGTATTGATACCGAGACTGTGATGAACTATGTATATATGTTGTAATCTCTAGTGTAATCATTAAAAATATTACATAAAGTGATATAATAAAAATTAAATCAAAATGGAATAATGAAAATGTTCAAGCAACCTATAGGAAAATAGGAAAGGGGGGGCAGAGAAAGTTAAAATGAAGGGAACAAATAGAATGTAAATATTAAAATGGAAAACTTAAATCCTAACACATGAATAATTACAAGATAGAGATTAGCAGAATCAATCAGTAAAAAAGACCGAACTATATGCTGTCTATATGAAACTCACTTCAAATATGATATAGAGAGGCTAAAGGTTAAAGATAGAAAAATATATACTATGCAAACACTAGTTAAAGAAAACTGAAGTGTTGGGCCGACCCGGTGGCGCACTGGATAGTGCGCCGCTTGGGAAGCGTGGCGGCGCTCCCGTCCGAGGGTTCGGATCCCACATACAGACCGGCTCCCGCTCACTGGCTGAGCGAGGCGCGGGAGCAACACCGAGGCTTGCAATCCCGTTGCCGGTCCCCGGTCCGGTACGGGGGCAACACTGAGGGTTGCGATCCGTTGCCGGACACGGAAAAAAGACAAAAGACCAAAAAAAAAAAAAAAAAGAAAACTGAAGTGTTTATATTAATAACAGATTATTATATTACAGACTATTATGTTATGAATTATTTATTAAACATAAATAAAAAATATTAATTATATTATGCTAATATAAGAAAAATTTGACATCACAGCAAAGAAGACTATCAGGGACAAAGAACATAACAAAATGATAAAAGGATCAGCTCATCAAGAAGACAGCAATCTTAACTATGTATGCAAGACTGAGCTGAAAAATAAATAAAGCAAAACCTGAAAGAACTGAATGGAAAAAGACAGAAACACACTATTATACTTGGGGATTAATAACCCATTCTCTTAGTAATTGATATAATCATTAGGCAGAAGTCATCAAGGCTAGGAAAGAACTGAACAGTTCCATCAACTGCAGGATCTAATTGAAATTTATAGAACATGACACTCAATAAAATCAGAATACAGATTCTTTTCAAGCAAACATAGCACGTTCACAAAGATAGACAATATCTTGGGTCATAGAGCAAATCTTAACAAATTTCTGGTACTCAAAGTAATATAAAGGACATTTTGATCATAGTGGAACTAGAAATCAGTAACAGAAAGACAACAAGAAAATCTCAAAATACTTAGAAATTAACACTACGAAATGACTGTGGTCAAAGAGGAAGTCTTGAGAAATAAAAAATATATTGAAGTGAATGTCAATGAAAATATAACACATCAAAATCTGTAGGATGCTGCTAAAGCAGAGTCAAAAGGGAAAGTTAGAGCATTAAGTCTTTATAACAGAAAAAAAGCAAGATCTTAGATCAATAATTTCAGCTCTTGCTCTACTTCAAGAAACAAATAAACAAAAAAGAAACCCAAAGCAAGCAGAATGAAGGAAAAATTAAAGAGCAGAAATTAATGAAATCAGAAATAGGAAAACAATAGAGAAAAATCAGTCAAACTAAAAGCTGGTTTTTGAAAAGGTTAGTAAAATTGATAAACACCTAGATTGACAAAATGAAAGAAAAGACTAATTACCATTATATAAAGACTGAAGAAAGAGATAGCACTACAGATATCACAGACATTAAAAAGGTAATAAAAAGTAGTGTAAATAACTTTATACACATAAATGACAGTTTAAGGTGAATAGACCAAATTTTTGAAAACCACAAATTGCCAAAACTCACTCAAGACAAAATAGATAATTATAATATTCTGCAACCGTTAAAGTAGTTGAATTTATAATTAAAATCCTGACAAAAAGAAATGTTGAGGCACCAGTGGTTTCACTGGTGAATTTTAGCAAAGATTTAAGGAATAAATGACATCAATTTTACATAGTCTGTTCTAGAAAATGGAGGTAACAGTTCCTAGTTTTTTTTTTTTTTTTTTTTGTGGTGATTGGCCAGTACCAGGATTTGAACCCTTGACCTTGTTGTTACCAGTGCTACTGCCTAACCAAGTGCGCTAACTAGCCAGCCCTTCCTAATTCATCTTATGAGGCCACTATTACTCTGATACC